CTGCTTAGCAGAATTTTGAAGACTTGGAGGTTTACTGGAATTTAACCTAGCTCCCAAGAGTCATCCATCCCTCATTCATCTAACAGACATTTTTACTCAACACCTACTAGGAACCAGGAACTGGTCTAGGTGTTGGGGAAACAGACAGGAACAAGGCAGACAGGCCCCTTTTGAGTGAATTAACATTCTGTTGGGTAGAAATGAAAAGCAAAGAGTGTCTCAAGAAAGAAAGAGAATGCTCCCTTAGAGATAGATGGGGGCAGGCACTTTAGAGAGGCACCCAGAAGTCTTCTAAGGAGGTGACATTTGGGCTGTGACTTGAATGATGAGAAGGAGCCAGTCACAAGAAGAACATCAGGGGGAAGAGTCCAGGTGGAAGGTAAATACAGAAATCCCAGGAGGGAATGACCTTGGTGAGTGAGGCCAGCGTGGATGGAGTGGAGGGAAGGGGGAGAATGTGGCGGCAACAGAGACTGCCTGGGCAGGTGGGAGCCAGGGAAGGCAGAGTCCTGAAGGCCAGGCCGAAGAAGCCACCTCCTACGCTAAGAGCAATACGAGGCCACAGGAGAGATTTTAGCCAGACAGGACCGGAGTTGGGGAAACTCAGACTTTTGATGTCCATTTAAATCCCCACCTCAGGCCTCCTAAAAGAAGGGGTACGGATGTTGCATATGCTCCACCTCCTCGACACCAGAAAAAGAGCAATGGGACTGACTTTTCTTTTTTCTTTTTTTTGAGACCATGTCTTGCTCTGTCACCCACTCTGGAGTGCAGTGGCATGATCACAGCTCACTGCAGCCTCAACTGCCTGGATTCAAGCGATCCCTTCCCTCAGCCTCCTGAGTAGCTGGAACCACAGGCATGTACCATCGCGCCTGTCTAATTTTTGTATTTTTGGTAGAGATGGGGTTTCATTATGTTGCTCAGGCTGGTCTTGAACCTCTGAGCTTAGGCAATTTACCTGTGTCAGCCTCCCAAAGTGCTATGATTATAGGCGTGAGTCACTGCGCCTGCCCCAGTATTGACTTTAAACCCCAGTAGTATACTTAGTCATTGGGTCATCTAGGGCAAGTTTGCTAACTTTTCTGAATGTCACTTTCATTGTCTATAAAGAAGGATAATCATCCTATTCTTTTTTTTTTTTCCCCAAGGAGTCTCTCTATTCCCCAGGCTGGAGTGCAGAGGCATGATCTCCGCTTCCCAGGTTCAAGCGATTCTCCTGCCTCAGCCTCCCGAGTAGCTGGGACTACAGGCATGTGCCATCACGCCCAGCTAATTTTTGTATTTTTAGTAGAGACTGGGTTTCACCATGTTGGCCAGGATGGTCTCAATCTCTTGACCTCATGATCTGCCCACCTTGGCCTCCCAAAGTGCTGGGATGACAGGCCTGAGTCATCGCGTCCCACCAATCATCCTATTCTAATAATAAATTTTTATTATTAAATGAGTTAGCCCATGCTAAATATTTAGCAGTAGGCCGCATCTGTGGGGATCATTTGGGGTTTATGCCTTTGGTATGTGCCCTCCTAAATACCCCCAGACGGCCTCCCTAAACTCATGGATGACATCTGACTGGGGCGCGTGCACTTCCGCTCAGCCCCATCACACACCCATCTTTGTTTGACTGTTAACTACCCTTTCCAGTCTGTAACCCTGATTCTACTCTCGCTTTCCTGAGAAGATCAAGGCCATCTGAGGCCCGTGGCCTCCACCTCCCTACTCTCCTCAACATCTCTGTGCACTGTTACCCACTTTCTCCTTTTTTTACTTCCATCTCAGAGAAATGAATAGCCCAGCGTCTTGCCTCAGCTGCCCTCACCCACCTCTGCGGTGGAGTCCAGGCTTTCCTGACTCCCCCTACACCCTGCTTTGCCAATGGCTTCTCTCCTTTGTATCTTTCACCTCTCTCCTTCTCTCTGTCTTTGATTCTGCCTGTCAGTCTCTATCTCTCTCCCTTTTTCTCTCCCTGTCTCTCTCCCTTTTTCTATCTGTCTCTGTCTCTCTCTTCCTCTCCATCTCTCTGTCTGTCTCTCTGTCTCTCATTCCCTGTCTCTGTCCCCTACCTTCTCTGTTCCTCTTCTTTCTTGGATTCTTCTTCTCAGTCAAAAAATACGTTCAGATCGTCTCTCCTCAAACAAACACACAAGACCAACTCTCCGTAGGCTCTCCCACCGCCTTCAGCCGAGACTCTCCATCACTGCCCTCCCCAACCCAGGCGCTTTGCTCCTTCCATTCTGCTAGCCGGTTTCCTCCCAAGATGCCCCTAAAGCAGCTCTCTCCAAAGTCACCAGTGGCACCCCCTCGTCCCCTCCATCTGCCAAACCCAGGCATCATCCTTCAGGGACCCTGCAGAATCTGACACAGTTGACAATCTTTGTTCTTCATGGGCTGTCCTTCCCCATCAGCCACGATCCTCTTATTTCTTCTAGTTGTTACACAACTCTGTCTGGGTCTCCACTGCTGGCATGCTCCCTCTCTCTCTCTCTCTCTCTTTCTCTCTCTCTCTCTCTCTCTCTGCATAGGATAACCAAGGGCAAGACAGGCCCCCTCCCCTAACGGCCTCATTGCATGTGCTCTAGCAGGTCCCACCCAAAGCTCTGTTGCCCTTTCATTTTACATCTGGAATTCTCAATAGCCTTTGCATAGCTCCACAGAGATGATCCACTGGAAACTAAAAATCTGCTCCAAACTGAAATATCCTTTCTGCTTCCCCCACATATGCTCCTTCTCCTGCAGCCCATGTTCTTCTCAACTATCCAGGCTCAACAGAGAGCTCCAACTCATCTCACCGGTTGGGCGCTACCTTCCCAATGGTCTTATTTATTTATTTATTTTTTTATTTTTATTGAAACAGGGTCTTACTCTGTCCCCCAGCCTAGAGTGCAGTGGCACAATCTTGGCTCACCACAACTTTCGCCTCCCAGACTCAAGCGATTCTCCTGCCTCAGCCTCCTGAGTAGCTGGGATTATAGGCATGGGTCACTACCACCCAGCTAATTTTTGTATTTTTAATAGAGACAGGGTTTCATCCTGTTGGCCAGGCTGGGTTTGAACTCCTGACCTCAAATGGTCCACCCGCCTTGGCCTCCCAAAGTGCTGGGATTACAGGCATGAGCCACCATGCCTGGCCTCCCAGTGGCTTTTTGCTGTTCGGGTCCTACCATCCTCACCTGCTGCAAGCCCTCACTACCTCTCTGTGGACCTCTGCAACGGCCTCCTGTCTGCCCTACCACCTCCTCTCCTGCTCCCATCACTAACCCACCTGTACTGTCAAATGACTCTTCTTAGAGAATTCCCCTGGTTATGGAGTTTCCTACAAAAAACCCGCACTGACTTCCTGGGATCTTCCAAGCAGCGTTCAGCCTGGCACTCTAGGTCCTCCATTTCTCCATGCGGTGGCTCTAACTCTCTCTTCCAACCTTCCCATCCCATCCAGACTAGGAGCTTTCTGGTGTCCAGGCATTTTCCCCTGTCTGACCTCCATGGAGTTCCTTCTGCCTGGAACACTGCCTACTGGAGCCCTACCTGCTGCAGTGCACCTTTGCCGCTCTCTGAACTAGATGTGCTCTCATTTCAGTTCCTAAATCACATTTTTCATCTCTCTCTCTCTTTTTTTTTTTTTTTTTTTTTTTTGAGATGAAGTCTCACTCTGTCACCCAGGCTGGAGCACAGTGGCATGATATCAGCTCACTGCAACCTCCACCTCCCGGGTTCAAGCAATTCTCCTGCCTCAGCCTCCCGAGTAACTGGGACTACAGGCCTATGCCATCATGCCTGGCTAATTTTTTTGTATTTTTAGTAGAGGTGGTATTTCACTGTGTTAGCCAGGATGGTCTTAATCTCCTGACCTCATGATCTACCTGCCTCAGCCTCCCAAAGAGCTTGGATTACAGCTGTGAGCCACCCGCGCCCGGCCCTCCATCTGTCTTCCATGAGCTATCATCTGGCTACATCCCAATTGCTCGGCTGTTAGCAACCAGGAAGTAGAGGGCTTACCTGGCTCACCTTTGCATCCCTGGTAGTAGCCAGTATGAACCTCATGGGTAGTCAATTAATATCTGATGAAGGATGAATGAACCAAGTTGAGTCAAATTAGTCAAATGAAGCCATGACCTTTGTTAAAAAGTATCTTCTAAAGACAGGAAAATGCCATCTTCCCTAAAGGCAATATGGGACAACTCTGGAGCTGGACAGACTGACTGAATACAAAACCTGACTCTACCCTTTACCAGCACTGTAACCTGAGCAAGTTTACAACTCTTGAGCCTCAGTTTCCTTAGCTGCAACATTAGAACAATACCCACAACACAGGAATGCTGTGAAGAACAAAGGGGGCAAACACAGGTAAAATGGAGTAGTCCAGTTCCTGGAACACAGAGGGAACTTTAAACAGGGAAGCATTTCCTTGCTAGAAAGAAATGTGGTACAAGAATTGCTCTTCAAGTCATTCTATCAAAAAGACACCTAGATTTGTATGCTATCGCAGCACAGTTCACAACTGCAAAGACATGGAATCAAACCAAGTGCCCATCAACCGATGAGTAAAGAAAATGTTTTACACACACACACACACACCATGGAATACTACTCAGCCCATAAAAAAGAACAAAATAATGTATTTTGCAGCAACTTGGATGGAACTGGAGGCCATTATCCTAAGCGAAGTAACTCAGGAATGAAAAACCAAATACTGCATGTTCTCATTATAAGTGGGAGCTAAGCCACAGGCACACTGAGACATACAGAATGGCATAATGGACAATTGTACCGGAGACTCAGAAGAGGGGAGGGTGGAAGGGGCTGAGGAATGAGCCTATTTGGTACCATGTACACTATTTGGGTGATGGGTATACTACAAGACCAGACTTCACTCTACAATTCATCTATGTGACCAAACCACTTGTACCTCTAAAGCTATTGAAATTTTTGAAAAAAATTTTTTTAAATTGCCCTGTCCTTCAAGGAGGGACCCAGACTGTATGAATGCAACCACTTCTGACCTGTCTCCAGTAGCAGCTTCACGATGGAGAAGTTGGAGTGGGACACACTGTAGTGAAGAGCCGTGTTCCCATTGCGATCCGCCAAGTTGACAAGCAGCTGCAGGAAGTGTGGGGAGTGAGGCTGGACCTCGCGGAGGTAGGCGGCCACCACGGCAGGGCTCGATGACTTCCGGCTGGAGACGCGGAACCACTCTTGACTGATGGTGTTCAGGCTTTGCCTCTGAAACCCCAAAAGAGACCAATTCCAAGAGGTTCCATGGCCAGCAAAGGTTCCTCCCTTACACAAGGAAAGCCGGCTTTGGCCTCTGTCCCTTCAGCTCCCTCCAGCTCACCATGTGACTTATTCCTGAAAGGCTCAGAGCTGGTGGGGTTAGGAATGCAGCAACATACTTTGTACTTGTGCAATCGCTCCCCTCTGGGAGTGGAAACGAGGATTGGGAGGATAGCGTAGTAACCACTAACAAGGTACTTAACTGGAGACAGTTTGAATCTGCGGGAAGTTCAGCTCATACCCCCGCTAAGAAGTTTAGCTCACACCCCCAGTATGCTCACAATTACAAAGGCCCTCTCCTTCCCGCTCACACAGCCAGCTCACACTGACCTTGCCCCAGACTCTACCAGGACTCCTGCGTGTTTTTAACAGGCATAGCTGGAAAATCGCAACATCTTACTAATGGGAAACATGCATGTGAAGACAAACAACATCCCCAAATGTATGCTTGAAATAAAACCCAAACAGGTGTGCTTGACATGTTTGGCTTTTAAGCTTTGCAAGGACCTTGAGAGTAAGTGGTTTAACAGCCCACGGCAGACCCTGCTAACTGTAGCATTCAGCTCCTCTGGGACCACGAACGAGAAGCGTTCCAGAGCCAATGACATCAACTCTGTGTGTGACATGACCTCAGTGTTTAAAGGATATTTACCTAACAGGGAGGAGAAGCTATTGGGAAGTGATTATGATAAATGACTTCATACTCATGCCGGGAAGAGTCCCGGACTTGGAGTCGCTAAATCAGTGTGACCTGGTTTAATCCCTGGCTCAGCCGTGTGAACTTGGAAGTCATACAATCTTTTGGAACTTTACTTATCCTATCACAAAATGGGAGTAAAAGGGGACTAGCCCTTTACCTTCCATAGCTCTACAGAGTGAGGTCCTTACACAACCTGCTTTTTCCTCAAAGGTCAGGGCAAGGGAGACGGTATCCTGCGCTTTGATTCTAACATGGGTGTGGTTCCAGGCTTGTATATCCTCTGATCACTTTTCTAGAGCAGAATTCATGGAATCTTTTGTGGTTGAAACACTTTTATAAATCAGAGTATCTCCTTTACCCATGGAATCTTCCAGAAAATCTGGAGAAAGATCCTAATATTAAGAAACAGAAGGGTGATTTTTTTTTTCTGAGATAGAGTCTCACTCTGTGGCCCAGGATGGAGTGCAATGGTGCGATCTCAGCTCACTGCAACTTCCATCTCCTGGGTTCAAGCGAGTCTCCTGCCTCAGCCTCCCAAGTAGCTGGCATTACAGTCATGGGCCACTATGCCCAACTAATTTTTATATTTTTAGTAGAGATGGGGTTTTGCCATGTTGGTGGGTCTCAAACTCCTGACCTCAGCTGATCCACCTGTCTCAGCCTCCAAAAGTGATAGGATTATAGGCATGAGCCACCAAGCCTGGCTGAGTGGTGAACTTTGAATGAAGAACTAAGAAAGACTTTAGTTTGATAATTCAATTAAGAATAAGTGACAGGAGTTTTGATCAACATCCTCATCATATATTTGTTCTTTCTTCTTCTTCTTCTGTTTTTGAGACAGGATGTCATTCCAACGCTGAGGCTGGAGTGCAGTGGTGCAATCACAGCTCACTGCAGCCTTGACCTTTGGGGCTCAGGTGATTCTCCCACTTCAGCTTCTGATTAGCTGGGACTCCGAGCGCATGCCACCATGCCAGGCTAATTTTTTGTATGTTTTTTTTGTAGAGACAGGGTTTTGCCACATTGCCCAGGTTAGTCTCAAAGTCCTAGGCTCAAGCGATCTGCCCGCCTCAGCCTCCCCAAGTGCTAGGATTACAGGCGTGAGCCACTGCACCCGGCCCTACATATTGGTTCTTTAGAAAACAACAACAGCTAAGATATAACAAAAACGAGCTGGGTAAGTAATAAACCTGATGAATTGATTGTTTTTACTTCTAGGGGTCTTTTGCAAAGGAGAGCAAAACAGCTTTTAAAAATGCTTATGGGTTGTTCCACCATGGGTCTTACAACTGCTCTCATAACTTGGGAAAATGTGCCAATATCCCTTGATTATGAGTAGAATCTCTATTAGTTTAAATCTCTGTAGGCCATGAAGGTGTGAAGGAGCAAATGCGTATTTTCTTGTTTTCGGTCTCTCAGCCCAGAAGTGCACTTCAAGAAAAACAGTCATGACTACAGAATTCAACGTCAGGGTTTAGGGGAATGGAAGCATGCCCTCCACCACCTTCATTTTATTGATGAAGAAACAGAGGCCCTGAGCATGGAACTGACTTGCCCAATATCTCCCAGGTGAGGTCCTGGGAATAGAACCTTCAGATCTCATTCCACATGTTTTTCCCATTCTGCCCACAGTCCTCTCAAACCACAGGGTTTGTGAGCCTAAGCCACAGAGTTTGATGACAGACACTTGTGGTGCATTGCCTAATGACTCATGGGAGGTGACTCTGAGTCCCGGCCTGCTTTCTTGTGCATATCCATGGGTTCCACATCCTCAGCGTGACCCACCTCTGCAGGCTGCAGTGATTGGGTGAAGGAGAGAACACCCAGAGGAAAGGGGCTCTGGCCTGCACACTCACACCACTGCCTTACAATGCACACTCACACCACTGCCTCACACTGCACACTTACACCACTGCCTCACACTGCACACTCACACACTCACACCACTGCCTCACACTGCACACTCACACACACCACTGCCTGACACTGCGCACTTACACCACTGCCTCACACTGCACACTCACACACTCACACCACTGCCTCACACCGCACACTCACACCACTGCCTCACACTGCACACTCACACACACCACTGCCTCACACTGCACACTCACACACTCACATCACTGCCTCACACTGCACACTCACATCACTGCCTCACACTGCACACTCACACACACCACTGCCTCACACTGCACACTCACACACACCACTGCCTCACACTGCGCACTTACACCACTGCCTCACACTGCACACTCACACACTCACACCACTGCCTCACACTGCACACTCACACACTCACACCACTGCCTCACACTGCACACTCACACCACTGCCTCACACTGCACACTCACACACTCACACCACTGCCTCACACTGCACACTCACACCACTGCCTCACACTGCACACTCACACACACCATACCTCACACTGTGCTCACACCACTGCATCACACTGCACACTCACACATACCACTGCCTCACACTACACACTTATACCACTGCCTCACACTACACACTTATACCACTGCCTCACACTGCACACTTACACACTCACACCACTGCCTCACACTGCACACTCACACACTCACATCACTGCCTCACACTGCACACTCACACACTCACACTACTGCCTCACACTGCACACTCACACCACTCACCACTGCCTCACACCGCACACTCACACTACTCACCACTGCCTCACACTGCACACTCACACCACTGCCTCACACTGCACACTCATACACTCACACCACTCACATCACTGCCTCACACTGCACACTCACATGCTCACACCACTCACACCGCACACACACACACACACACCACTGCCTGTCTCACACCACTGTGAGGGACGAAAGTCACCCTGGCGGAGCTAACGTCTTAAACAGAAGAGAAATCTTTACATGACAATGAAAAATCAGAGTACCAAGAGCTGGTCTGTGGTGGTCCCAGTTTCCGGCAGATGCTGGCTCAGTGCCCGGCATGCAGTAAGAAATTCTTCTGACGGTTTATATCTAAAGAAAACAAATACACATACACATATTTATATAATCATTCTTCATGTTGATAAACAAGACTTTCACTCTTTTCCTCTTTCTCAGCAGCTCAAACATCCAAACCAGGCAACTGCCCTAGGACGGGGCAACCTTCAGAAATCTGAGCGACCACGGTGTGTGCCAACGTGAGCAGGCTTCTGAAGGCTTCTGACGATGAGCCAGTGTGCTGCCCACTTCATCCTGCTTTTGTCAGGGGCTGGGATCAATAACCAGCATTTGGGTGGGGGATTTGTGGAGGGGGTGGTGGACAGGCCCAGCTGCAATTCCTGGCCCACTGAGAAGGGGAGGGCTGTCTTTCTGACTTTGGACCAATCATTTTCTGCCTGGGTGACTGGAAAAAAAAAAAATCAAAGAACCCAATCCATACCAGAAAATTCTTCAGGTCATTCTTCCATGAAGGACACCATAAGTACTCATAAACTCAGTACCATGAGACTCATTGAAGCTGAGGTGTCCACGGTAACAAGCACTCTCTCTGTTAGTTTGAAGGCAGTCTCAGCACCAAGAGGTCTCAGGAGGGGCTTAAGGGCACTGGACACAAAGAAACCCACTCACTTGGCCTGTCCTTATCTTGCCACCATGTTGGAGCAGCCCTGAACTGGGTGACAGTCATCTCCCATCCACTGTTCACCACCCCTTCAGCAGCCAGGCTGGAGATGCTGATAGTGATGATAATGGTAATAACGTCTTGTTTCTACCATTTACTGAGAGTCTTCTTTGTGGGAGGCACTGTGCTAGGCATTTACTTGCTTTTTCTCATGTAGTTCTCAGATCAAACCTATCAGGTTGCTATTATGCACATTTGACAGATGAGGAAACTGAGGGACCCACGGCTCAAGGACTTTGCCTAAAGTAACACCGTGGCAGAGGCAGGACTTGAGTCCAGGTATGGCTGACTCCAAAGACAGTGCTCTTCTCATCCTGCTGCATAACTTCCCATCACTTTACTTTTATTATTATTATTATTGTTATTTTGAGGCAGAGTCTCACTCTGTCACCCAGGCTGGAGTGCTGTGGTGCGGTCTTGGCTCACTGCAACCTCTGCCTCTGGGGTTCAAGTGATTCTCCTGCCTCAGTTTCCCAAGTAACTGGTGATTACAGGCGCACACCACCACGCCTGAGCTAATTTTTGCGTTTTTAGTAGAAGCAGGGATTCACCATATTGGCCAGGCTGGTCTCGAATTCCTGACCTTGTGATCTGCCTGCCTCAGCCTCCCAAAGTCCTGGGATTACAGGTGTGAGCCACCGCGCCTGGCTACTTTTATTATTTTTTCTTAAAAAAATGTATTTTAACTAAAATAGACACAGAGTCTTGCTCTGCTGCCCAGGCTGGTCTCAAGCTCCTAGACTCAAGGGATCCTCCCCCTCAGCCTCCCAAAGTGCTGGGATTACGGGTGTGAGCCATGGTGCCTGGCCGCTCCCATCACTTTAAAAGGCTGTGTTATGCCAGCATGGTCAATGTGACAGGCTGAAAAGCTTGTGGGTAACAATCAGAAGGACGGGGGCTGGGATCCCTGCTCTGCTAGCTGTGTCCCTGCACTTCCCTAAGCCTCCGTTTCCACATCTGTAGAGTGGGGAGGTCACAATAACTTCTACCCTGCAGGACTGTTGAAAGGAGTATATAGGATAATACTTGTAAAGTCCTTCACAGTTTCAGTGCCAGGTAAATGTTGACTTTGTACATAGACCTCTGGCTGTGACAGTACCTTCCACGAAGGCAGGAGCCACATCTGCTTTGTTTAACCAGAGCACAGTGTGGGCATGAAAAAGAGACTTAAATAACATGGGTGAAGGGATGGGTAAATGAATGAACAAATGATTGCATGCACGGGTGGATATATGCCCTTGCCCTTTTTCAGAGGAACAAGTGCCCCTGTTTGTGTCCATTTGCTCACCTCTCGGCCTTGGAGTGGGAGACCTCTTCCCCAGGCCCACTTTCCTGGGTGGCATAGCGGGAACCCTCGGGGATGCCCTGCCCAGCCTCGCAGGTGAGGTGGGCATCTTTGACATGCCTGTGGTCTGGGCCATCACACTTCTTCTCAGCCTCACTGTCAGACAACTCCTCTGGGGAGCTGTCCTCACCGCTGGTCTCCTCACTTGAGGTGGTCTCATACCTGGGGAAGGAGACAGAGGTCACACTGGTCCTGTCTTTCCTGCCCAGTGCCTGTGCCAACACCAATGAGAGCTGGGTGGGCCTGGGGAACACTCTGAAGCTTGCTAATCTCCTGCCCCACTCTCTACACCTGCAGGCAGGGTGACAGGCTCCCAGGAATCTCAGTGTCAGAAAGACATGCAGTAAAGGGCCCTGGGGAGGCTATTTGGAGAGACTCAATTAACTGTGCTCACTGCAGCAAACCTACAAGCAGCCTGCCCCCTCACTGGCTGATGCATTCGGGTGATCCAGACAGGCCACCCAAGGTTCTCATGAAAGCATTTGCTTGTGGAATCTTAATGTTAGGTCCAGAGAGGGGTCCAACTCCAGGCCCCACCTCCTACCTGGGTTCACCAAGTTGCCTGACAAGTCTTCACATCTCTGGGTGAGAGTGGGACCTCCCTTTAGCCTGTGCCAGCCCAGCTTGCGCCTGGCAAGGCATGAACTCCTCTGTGCCTACTTCCAGCACTCTGTGGGATACCCCAACACAGCATCTACCTGTCTTGGCTGCAGCCTGTTTGAACTATTGCTTAAAGCAGCAAAAGGGAGATCACGGGCCACGTGACTTGCAGTCCTCTTTCCTGGTAGTGACCCTTGTGTTCAATTACAAGTGACTCTTCTGAGTTGGCAGACCAGAGATCATGGAGGAATGTCCTGGAAGATGTATTGACTCTGCTACTGATGCTCAACAGGAGATCCCTGATGGAGAATGCTGGTGGTAAATGATTTCAGGCTCTTGGGCCACTGGACACAGCTACAGGGACTGGCGGCCATGGCCTCCACTGAACCCCCTAAGGACCCTTCTCTGAACGGTGGCCTCTACATAAAGCCCCTATGCCCAATGGATTTGCAAACCCTGTCTGCTTCCTGGTGTGCACGCATTCTGCCTCACTTAAATCCCAGATATTTCTTCCTCTATTATGTATGGAATAACCTTTCCCATTTGTGATTAAGAGAGTGGAGAGCATATTACATTTAACAAGCAATGCTCATCTTAGAACAGCTTCCATAAAAACTTTGCTTGGAAGTTCACTTATTCATTCAGCAGGAATTTACTGAGCACGTACTATGGCCCAGGCACAGTTCTAAATCCTATACCAAAGTCCCTGCCCCAGTGGAGCTTATATTCTAGTATGGAGAGGCAGAAAATGAACATGTAAACAAATATTATATTCAGATGGTGATAAAAACAATGAATAAAATAAAGAAGAGCTACGGGATAGAAGGATGGGAGGAGTGGCTACTTTAATTAGATCAGAAGTTCCTAACCTTAGTGGTTACATTAGAATCATTTGAGGGTGTTTAGAATTCCCAGTATGTGGACTGCACACAGACTAATTAAAGGACCCAGACACTGGGATATTTTAAAAGCTCCCCGGTGTTTGCAGCCTGCAACCAAGGCTCAGAATCGCTGCACTAGAGTAACAAACACTGAGGACTATCCAGGAGAGGAGGCCTTTAACAGGAAAACAGCAAGTGCCAGGGCCCTGAGATGGGCCCGAGCTCAGCCTGTTGGAGGGAGGGAAGGGACATCAGCGGCAGGGCCTAAGGCTGGGCAGAGTCATGATTGGCTCTTCCAGGTTTGGGTGCAGAGTAGGGACCGCTGAGGGCATTTAAGCTGGGGAGACACATGACCTACACTAGGCTTTGAGACGAGGCTGATTCTCCTTTTCTGTACATGAACTGTGAAAGCACAAAATCCTGGGTCAGATGTTAGTGAAAGTGGGAACAGCAACTCTCCTGTGACACCCGCTTCGTCATTTCTTTTCTTTTTTCTTTTTTTTTGAGACAGAGTCTTGTTCTGTCATCCACGAGGGAATGCAGTGGTGTGATCTTGGCTCACTGCAACCTCTACCTCCCAAGGTTCAGGTGATTCTCCTGCTTCAGCCTCCCGAGTAGTTGCGACTACAGGTGGGCACCCCCACGCCTGGCTAATTTTTTTTTTTTTGAGACAGAGTCTTGCACTGTCTCCCGAGCTGGAGTGCAATGGCACAATCTCGGCTCACTGCAACCCCATCTCCCAGGTTCAAGTGATTCTCCTGCCTCAGCCTCCCGAGTAGCTGGGATTATAAGTGCCTGCCACCATGCCCAGCTCATTTTTTGTATTTTTTTAGTAGAGATGAAGTTTCACTATGCCGGCCAGGCTGGTCTCGAACTCCTGACCTCATAATCTGTCCGCCTTAGCCTCCCAAATTTCTGGGATTACAAGTGTGAGCCACCATACCCAGCCAATTTTTGTATTTTTAGTAGAGATGGGGTTTCACCATGTTGGCCAGGCTGATCTTGAACTCCTGGCCTCAGGTGATCCATCTACCTTGGCCTCCCAAAGTGCTGAGATTACCAGCATTAGCCACCGTGACCGGGCCCGGTTCATCATTTCTGACATTTCCCCTGTGGGCATCTAATGTCTTCCTTTCTGGTGTGACTCAAATTAGCAGGGATTCCAGCCTCTCTGGGTAGCCGTCACGGTTTGGGCTTCTACAGCATCCTGTGCCTCCTCACCTAACAGAATTTATCTCAGCACATCAGCATTTCATCTTTACTTATTCTCTTATCTGTGAGCTAAAGGCAGGGACCATTATTTATTTGACTTTTTAACCTCCGCCGCCGAGCTCACCATTGGCATTTAATACGTGTTTGTTGAATAACTGACTTAGAAAATACTCTAAATCAAATATTCAATTCTCTAGAATATATAAGATTTTTCTCATGTTCTGAGTCAATAGTCTGGTTGTTTTACTTCATCCCCAAACACTTGGGTTTGGCTTGCAGGAAGTTAAAGGAAGAAAAAAATTAAATGGATGAAATTTGAAGTTCCACAAATTAAGAGTTTGTACCAGTTTCAGTTTTATGGTTCAGGTTAAATGCCTTCCTCTAAGGGCCCGTATTCCCTCAAAACTCCCAGAAGCCACCTGGAGTCTTGGCCCTGGGGAAGACCAAAGCCGGGACATATTGAAAACAGAGGTTCCAACAGACCACCGCAGCTGGCGAGAAGCCAAACGCATGCAAACCCGAGATGGAGTTTTAAAGGGCCATTGAAATTAATTCCCTTGAAAAGGAATGAAAACCAGATGCCTCCCCCTAGGAAACGAGAGCGAAGGACAATAGCAGAAGAGGTAGCGAGAAAGGTGCTCTGAGCTTCACAGGCGATGCTTACCCACCGTTAACCCCAACAAACTGAAGGTTCTTTTTGGTCCCATTACCTCCTGCACGGAAGCCATAGTCTTTCTTTTTCATTATGGATTTAATGCTGGTCGACGGGGAGATCTCTAGGCAGACACAACATCACAGGTTAGAATGATCTTGGGGATGGCTGGGAATGTAGCAAAACCAGGATATTGTTTTTGAGGGGACACGGGCTGCAGGTGTGTGGAGAGGTAAGGAGGGACAGGGAACCAGATCATGTAAACTGATGTTTTGGGGACCTCCTGGGGGAGCCTTGCTTTCTGCTCAATGCCGGGAGAACTGTCTCTGTTAATAATACCCCTCTAGGTGTGGTCGAAGAACCATGTGGGGTAGGTGCCATTGCTGTCCCTGTCTTACAGCTGGGAGATCTGAGGCCCAGACTTGCTCAGTGAATGGCAGTGCAGGAGTAGAACCGAGGCCTCAGAACTCGTGGTCCAGCCCCCACTTCTGCTCAAGGGCACCTCAGTGGTCCTTCCTGGCTCGCAAGTGTATGTTGACGCTAGGGTTGTGGGGGTGGTGATGACACCGGGCTTACAGCATACACACGAGCAAGGACACAGATCTTGCATGTGCACAACAGGATAGGAGGCGGTTCCCAAAGGGCAAGACTAGAACTGGTGCCGAAACACTGAGAAAGCAGCCGAACTGTGATTTGTGGCAGGAAGCGGTCTCGCATGCCTGGCAAAGCAAAATGTGGTTCCACTTTACCCAGCAGTGAAGAGGGTTTGATCTGTTACAAGAGGAAGTGCTGCTCAGCCAAAGGGCCCATTTCCATATGTGAGCAGCACTCCGCCGCCTGCCCCTGTACACACACACACGCACGTACACGTACACACATGTACACACACACACACACACACACACACCCACGCTGAGAAAATATTCAGTGAACTATACCAGATAGCAATATAATGTTCCTCCAAAACCAGGCTAGAAAAAACCTCTACTGTGTAAGAACCAGAGAGAAACACAGAATGCAAAAGAAACAATGAAGGGAGCCCACTCAGCAGGGCCAGTCTTGGCCCCACGCACTGCCTTTGTACAGTGCACCATGAAAACAGCCCCTCTGGGTGAATGCAGTGCTGCAGCGCAAGGCTTGGCAAATGGAGTGTGGGCTGGATTTCAACTCCCATTTGCCCTCCCTAGCTGGCATCTTTGTGCCTCTTGCTACCCATATAGCTGTAGGCAGTGGCCCCGCAGTCATACCCAGCCTTAGAGCAAAGGTAAGAGTAGAGGTCCTGAGCCTCCACTGCCACACACATCAGTTTTTATTCCACTGGGTTCCCGGAGGCGCTAAACTTTTTTTTTTTTTTTTTTTTTTTTTTGAGATGGAATCTTGCCCTGTTGCCCAGGCTGGAGTGCAGTGATGCAATCTTGGCTCACTGCAGCCTCCACCTCCAGGGTTCAAGCGATTCTCCTGCCTCAGCCTCCCAAGTAGCTGGGATTACAGGCGCCCGCCACCACAGCCGGCTAATTTTTGTATTTTTAGTAGAGATGGGGTTTCACTATGTTAACCAGGCTGGCCTTGAACTCCTGACCTCAGGTGATCTGCCCACCTCAGCTTCCCAAAGTGCTGGGATTACCGGTGTGAGCCACTGCACCCGGCTGCTAAAATCTTTTTAAAAATACATTCATGTCATTGAAAACCTTGTTCCCTCTGCCTCATTATGTGAAAGAGAAATGGTTCCCTGTCTCAGGCCCCTGTGTTGGCTGTATTTACCCATCGGCGGGGAGGAGGCGGAGGCCGGGGGCTCCTTGGGTGGGGGAGCCTGGGCCGAGTAGGCCGACAGCAGCAGGTTGAGGGAACTCAACAGCTGGCTCTGGATGCTGCTGAGCTTGGAGGCCGGCTGCTTGATGGCGCTGGCCAGCTCAGGGTACCCGTGCTCCAGGCAGTTCCACTGCTCCTGCAGGAGCTCCTGGATCTTCTTCACGTACTGCCCAATAGTGGCATCCGTTGGCGAGCTCGGTGGCCTTCCCGAGTGCTCCTTCCCTGGGAGCTCAGAACTGGCCTCTTCCCTCCCTGCTGGGGGAGTCTTTCTGTCGCTGCCCCACGGAGAGCCCCCTGCTCCCCCCGCTTCTCCCTGAGGGCCTCCTTCCTGCTCAGAGTCTGCTTCCTCAATCCTGAGTTCAGTGGAGAGGAAGCTATGTACAGAGGGGGTGAGGACCTGCTCGGGTCCCTGTGGCAGTGACAGTGGGGGTGGAAGCCCATGTCCTGCTGGGCTCTGGTCCCCTTGTTTGTGACCGCCTGGCCCCCATAGGAGGCCATTCTCCTCTCCTCGGTGCCCCCAGCTTTCAGACTCCATGCTGCCTAGAAGGTTGACCTCAATGCTCTTGTCACATGACTCCCTGGTCAAGAGTCCATGAACAGGGTCAGTGTTCACCATGGCGTCCGCCTGGCCCGGAGCGTCTTTGACATTCTCTTGGGGAAGCTGTCCTTCCAGCTGGGCTATGGTGCACTCCAGCTCTCGAATTCTTTGCTCCCTAGCCCTGATTTCCTCTTCCTGCTGCTGGAGGGCAGCTCTGACCTGTGCCAGTTCCTCAGTTCTCCCAGACAACTCTCCCTCCAGGGCCGAGACCTGCTGTTTCAGAATGGAGACGCTGCCCGGATCCACTCTGGCAAGGCCCAGGCTTTCCTCCGTTACCCTGATGCCAATGCTTCTCACGTCCACCTCCACAGGCGGCGGAGGTGGAATCTCGCTGATGTTGAGCTCGATCTCTTCCAGGAGGAGCTCATTCTCAGGGATGGGTGATGGCAGAGGCGGAGGACTTGGTGTGGGGGAGCCAGGGGTGAACACCCGCTCTGCGTCTCTGGCTTTGTGTTCATCTTCCTCATCCTCTAGTACTACAAGTGCGTTCTGGAATGAGGAAGAAGGGCCTGGGAGAGGGAGGTGATTTGGAGCCTTCACCATGCCCTCCGCTCCCTTCTGGACCAGCTCTGGAATCCGAGTTGGTGCTTGTGGGCTGGAGCTCTGGAAACCTGCCAATCCTTCTGTGGGGCCAAAGGTGCCATTGCAGACACTGCCTTCACCCTGAAGGGGTGGGAGGGGAGGAGGGGCGGGGAGCCCCAGGCTAAGGCCTGGCTCCTCAGAAGCCCTGCTGTGCAGCAGCGTGGCGGGCATGCTGGAGGCTCTCAACAGCTGGGGCCGTCCACTCCCAGGGGTGAGATCGGCGTCCTCTGGTTCAGCAGCCTCCAACTGCCTGGTGGCCTCTGCCAACAGAGCCCTCCTGTGGTAGCTCACCTCACTCGTACTGGGTGAGGCCTGGGGGGCATTACCAAGCGGCAGCGACTGGGTTTGTTCCTGTGTCCCACACGATGCCTTCATTGGCACCACTGGGGACCAGTTGTGGGGGGGCGGGGCCGCAGAAGGGCGAGCCCTGCTGTCAGGAAGGCTGAAGTTTCGGGGCAAAGTGCTAAACTTGGCCTGCTTGGCCCTTCTGTGGATAGGAATTCTTTTGATGGTGTTTCCCTTCTCGATGTCATCCACATACTTGAGGAAGTCCAGGTCTAAATGAAAACCGTACGGGGTCTCCACAGAGTAAGGGTGGCTCTTCGGAGGCTCTTTCTCTTCGTCCCCCTGAGAGGACTGGTCTTTGGCTGGGAGACATAAGACAAGTTAAAAAAAAAAGAAAAAAGCACAAAGTTAATTAAGAATTACAGGGCGATGAGGCCTAATATCTCTGATTTTAACTTAACATTACCACAAAACTTCTCCTAAATGTTCTGGCTTCTAAATTATGCTGAGATGCTCAGTCTTTTCAGCTGTATTGGGAAATCATCTTATTAAATCAATGTGTACTTAGCCAATGTCTGCAAGGAAACAGGGAGAGGGAATGGTTTCCAATTTGCAGTATGTCATCTCGGTTACTACTGGGGAATCTGTCTGCAGACCGGCAAAACAAAATGGTCTCATGCTGCTTTTCTGGGTTTGAATCATCTAATTGCTGAACCGGAGTGGCCAGGCATTTGCCAGATCGGGGTACTAACTGGCAATTATGGATATGGAAGGTTTTAAAGGATGAGATACACAAGTGGATCAGCAGTAAAAAAGAAATCTGCAAAAAAAAACTAACTTGCGTGACTCAAATTGGTAGTAGTAAATCCCGCTGAAGCCGGAAGTATCAGTGAGTTATGCCTTTTACATTATTTAAGCTTGTGCAGATGCCTGCACCTCAGGTATACACAGATCAGAGAGAACTGGGGCAAGTAATCAGGCCTGGCCTACGCTCTCTGCATCTGAAAACTTGCCTAGTGCTTAGCAAACATGAAATCCACTTTCAAAAACCCGTGCCAAGTAAGAATATACCTCCTTTGGCCAGGAACTCAATGAAAAAAGAGAGAAACAAACAAAAATACTGTATTTTTCACAGACTGGATAAAAGATGGTAAGGTAAAAGGGCTAACTGATGTCAAAAGGGACATTGGTATTCATCCTCCAAGAAGAATGGAACTTGACTTTTCAGGAAAACCCATACCCTGGGAGGCCATCATGATGAGAAAGTTCTCCATCACACCAAGGTTCCAGCTCCGGCAGTGTCTACCTGTTGACTCCAACAGAGGACACTGGGAACAAGTCAGTCCTTTGACTATTTGCATCCATAGGGGCTTGTTGCCAAGTAACCTCTTCTTCAGGTTAGTCTTTGTTTCTTCGATGATCCTCATGTGACACCCTAATGACCTCTGTGACATTCTGCTAAACAGGCTCTGAAATATTGAGCTGAGGGGAGAACACGAATGAAGAGAACAGAGGTTCCGAATACAGATTCTGGATCTGGTTTAGATCTCTGCTGTGTGATCTTGGGGAAATTACTTAGCCTTCCTGTGTCTCATCATATGTAAAGTGGGAATCATAATAAGTAAAATAAGATTATTGTGAGAACTAGTTAATTCATAATAAAGTGCTTGGCACAATGCCTCACACATGATAAATATTCAGTTTATCTTTGCAGAAGCCCAAAATATAGACAACGGAAGCCCCACAATGGAAACTGACTTATATGACTCACTGCTGGGTCTCCACAAACATGTTGTAACTGGCTGATTGCTTGGTTTTAAGGGTAGTAGGCCCTGGGTTCAAAATGACAAAATAGCTGTGATTCAATTCACTTACCTCAATCATCCATTTATTGAGCACCTATGTGCTAAGCTAGATCCCAAGGACACCAAAATGAGTCAGGTTTAGACTCTGCCTTCACAGGATTTGTGGTGAAGCAGGAGAGACACGAACAAATACAATGCAGTGAGGTAAGGATAGTAACAGATGCATGCGCTTGGTACAGGCTTCTTCCCTGACTTATTTTGCTAATTTCTCCAGAATTATTTTCTTGGACTTGGAAAACAATTTTTCCTAGGTAGGAGAGGGATGACTTCACACAAAAGTGACACACAACTGGGTGATAAATGAACAAACAGGGACTTGACAGGAGAAAAAGAGAGTGAAAAACATTGTGCCAATTTATCTTCAAGATGACCACCACCAATTCCTACCCAGTTTGGACAAGCAAGCTAATGTTATATTTAAAGGTGGAGTCTACATTTCCAGGCCTTTGAATCTGGGCTGGCCTGGGACTGCTTTAAGCAAAAGAATATGGCAGATGCTCAGAGATCCTGAAGGCTTGGTCTTAAGAAGCCCCATAGCTTTCTCCTGGGTCTCTTAGAATGCACACTCATTGGGAAGCCAGGTGCCATGTAAGAAGTCCACCTTCTCTGAGACTGCCATGCTGTGAGGAAGCCCAAACACCCCGAGAGGTCAAGTGGAGAGAGGGAAGGAAATGCCTAACCAGCCCCAAGCAGTTCTAGTCATCCTAGCCTGGATGCCACGCACGAGTAAAAAGTCCTCAGCCATCATCTGACTTCAGCTACCGGAGGGACCCCGAGTGAGAATCGCTGAACTGAGCCTGGGTTAATAATAAATTATTGTGTTAAGCCATCAAGTTTTGGGATGGTTTGTTACGCAGCAATAGACAGCCAAGACAGACATTCTAGCTCTCCACAGAGAATGTGCAAAGTGATAGACGGTGAAATTACAGAGTATTTCAAAGCTCTATAATTGCAGCTGATATGGCCAGTACTTAAAACATGATAGAGAGAGATAAGATTGGAAAGGAAAGTAACAGCTAGATCATGGAACAGCTGGTATGCACGCTAACAAGCTTTGACTTTACTCTCTCGGTCATGGGAGTCACGGAAGGGTTTTAAACAAGGGAGTGACTTGGTTCAATGTGATTTCAAAAAGAGCATCTTGCCGAGGATTCAGAAAAAGGCAAACCAGAGGCCCCAAGATCAGCTGGGAGGCAGCTGACATGGTCAAGGTGGGAGGAGCTCAAGGTAATGGAGGGAAAGGGACAGGTTAGGCAAAGTAGCAAATGAGGGCATTTCCTGGTGCACATTTTCAGATGGCTTTTTCCTAAGCTGGCTCACTCAGTGGGAAGCCAGCTACCATGTAAGAAGTCCGCCTTCTAGGATGGCTGGAACTCCTTGGGGCTGGCTAGGCATTTCCTTCCCTCCCTCCACTTGACCCCTCTATGGGGCTATTTGGGCTTCCTCATAGCATGGCAGTCTGCAATGACAGATTGGGGCTGAGCTCTCCCTACTTGCCTGCCTTATCTCTCTTTCTTCTGCCTGATGCCACATGCTTGCCACGTGGCCCTCTGTGCTTAGGGAAGTGCAGTTATCTCCAAAGAATGAAATGACACCAACTAGACACAAGAAGGCTGAACCATGAACATGAACACCATTGAGTCCAGCACCCATCAAAGCCAAGTAAAGCCACAGGCCTGCAGGCAGTTATGTCACAACTGCAGGAGAGAAGAGAACAAGCATTCGTGCTGACCCACAGGATGCTCTCTGTCGGCTTCCAGAGCTTCTCTGGCAGATACCTGGACTTCCGGCAGAAAAGGAATAAATGTTCCTCTGGTACCCAAACGACTCCAAATAAGCTCCCATTCAACCACACAATTTTTTTAACCAACTTGCTCCCCCGACCCTTCCATCTCCCTCCAGAGAAACACACTGGTAGTTTCATTAAATGAGAGCAATATCTTGTATTGCTCTCTGTTAGTTTTCCAAGTTGTGCTTGGCTATATTCTCAGATCTACTGGTCCACTCAACAGCCCCCTGGGTTATAAGGACAGGCCAAACAGAGAAGAGATATTTATCTAAAGTTAAGTAGAGAGCAGATTTATGACCTAGAAGTCAAAGAGCTCTCCTAAAGGAGAGGCTGCATTATTTATCTGCTTATTGCCTCAATTCACTAGAAATGCACCGATTTGTCCAATGGCCCCTGGGCGCAGGTCCAGAGCACAAATACAATCATAGCATCAAATAAGAAACAGCAGATTCAAAGGCAGAATCTTCCGCAAGGGAGAGGAGGGCAAGTGAGGCTGAGCAGCCACCAAGGATAACAGGTTTAATAGCAGGTTTAATAGGTGCTTTCCCAAGCTAGTGCGTGCATATGTGCGCGCGCACACACACACACACGGTGATCCATCATGCTGCCCTGCCTGCCACCTGCCACTCTGCATTCCTTCTCCTTCTCCCAGCACAAGAGGAATGCTGGGCTTTGATGAGGGAGTTGGAACTGATTTGCTGAGAGACCACGCTCACATGCAGCTCTGCTCCTATTCATCCTACCTGGTGACAGGTATGAGGGAGCTCAGAATTCCAGGCATTGGGCCAGGGTGAGAATCAGTTGGGAGGACCTGTCTCTGTTTAAAATGAAATTCAGATCAAATAAACCAACGCATGGCCAAACCGGCTGCATTTGAATCCTGGCTATCACCTCCTACTTGGGTGATTCTGGGTGAATTGTTTCATTTCCCTCTGCCTCACCTTCTCCATTTGTAAAGTGGAGATAATAACACCTAACTTACAGAGTTGTCATTATCAGCACGAACGCACTGGAGAACACGGCCCCGAGCAGGCACTCAATGAAGGACCCCAGCAGCAAGTGTGGGCTGGTCCCGAATGCGGCAGGGGAGGATTCACCGAGCACGTGCTGTCTCCTGTGTTAGAACAACAGCTCAAGAGGGAACGAGAGTCCAGGAAAATAATTCTGGAGAAAGTGTGAAAAGGAGTCTGGGAAGAAGAAAAAAGAAAGACAGAGGAGGCTTGGGACTACCTGGAATTCCCTACAGAGTCTTGCTTAAAAGCACGCCAGATCACTAGACGCTTGTATAGGCCCTACAAACACCGTTCCAGAGTTACACACAGACAGGAGAAAGGAGGTCTTCAAGGGGCTAAAGTAATGAGGGAGAATCATGGTAATTATCTGAAGAGACAAGCGAAGTAAAGCAGATGCGTGAACCAACAAGAGGCATTTAAAGTGAGAAAGAGAGGTTCAAAAGCCTATATTCAGTCTCTGAAGTAAAGGGAAAAACAGAAACTGGAGAGAAAGTGGCTGAAAATAAAGCCGGAGAGAAGGCAAGTGAAATGAAACTCTTCCAAAGGCCAAGACAGGGAGGGATGCCTTCCCCTCTGGGAAAGTTGTTCCTGTTCTGGAAGATCCATGTGGCTGAAAGGAAGGAGCCTTTCTTGAGCTCATATTGGCGATCACGTGGACAGCAGTCCTCCCCAGGGAGCTGAGCAGGGACTGAGAGGCAGCTGGGGTGACAGGCCCCCAGGGCAATGAGGGGTTAAGCCAGTATTCTGTGGGATCACTGCCAGGGATGCACCGAAAAGGCAGCTCTTTGGGGAGACAGGCGACTATTGAAATATATGGGAACTGCATTTGGAAGAAAAGAAGAGGCAGGGCGAGAGCTGACGTCAGGTCCCTAAGTCCTTGTGCTGGTGAAGCGCCATGTGATTCAAGGGGAATTAGAGGCGCTCTGCTTCCTGATATTTGCTGATCTAGAAAAAACATTTCATGGCCAGGCACGGTGGCTCACGCCTGTAATTCCAGCACTTTGGGAGGCCAAGGTGGGTGGATCACAAGGTCAGGGGTTCGAGACCAGCCTGACCAATATGGTGAAACCCCATCCCTACTAAAAATACAAAAATTAACCGGGTATGGTGGTGGGCACCTGTAGTTCCAGCTACTCAGGAGGCTGAGGCAGGAGAATTGCTTGAATCTGGGAGGCAGAGGTTGCAGTGAGCCAAGATTGCGCTACTGCACTCCAGCCTGGGCGACAACAGAGTGAGACTCCATCTCAAAACAAAAAAAGAAAAAAACATTTCATTAGAAGTCAGGAGATCGGGGTCTAGACTGTGGCCTTCGGCAAGTTTCCTGGGATAGGAAGGGGGAACATTCAGACATTCATTGTGCTAGGTAGTTGCTACTCAACAACTTCCCATGCATTATGTCATTTAGTTCTTTCTTTTTTTTTTTTTTTTTGAGACGGAATCTTGCTCTGTTGCCCAGGCTGGAGTGCAGTGGTGCGCTCTTGGCTCACTGCAAACTCCACCTCCCAGGTCCAAGTGATACTCCTACCTTAGTCTCCCCAGTAGCTGGGACTACAGGCATGTGCCACCACCCTGGATAATTGTTATATTTTTCGTAGAGACGGGGTTTCACCATATTGTCCAGGCTGGTCTTGAACTCCTGACCTTGTGATCTGCCCGCCTCAGCCTCCCAAAGTGCTGAGATTACTGGCATAAGCCACTGTGCCCAGCCTATGTCATCTAGTTCTTTACCAACCCTAGGAAATAGTATTAATACCTGTTTATAGATAAGGTGTGGCCAACTGTTCACAAAGATAGCCACAGTAATATCTGACCCTTGGGGTACTCCCTTACTGCACTGATGCTAGATGTGGCCTTATGACTTATGTTGGCCACTGGGTCAACAACAATGTGACATATGCAGAGATTGGAACATTACCTGCACATTGGAGTCAGTCTGTTCTTGTATAAGTGCTTGAACTCTTCTGCCAACATGTGAACAAGCCCCACTCAACCTCCTGGATGATGAGTGTCACATGGCCAAGTCATTACTGATACCCCAAGTATGTGAATATGACTATTCTAAGCCATCTGGGCCCAGCCAAGTCACCCAGAAGCCCATGGACATATGAATGAACCCAGAAAAGATCAGCCGCACCAGCCTAGACCAGAATAATGGCCCTGCTAACCCACATAATCTTCTGAGAAATATTTAATGTCTTTAAGTCGCTAAACTGTTGGGCTATTTGTTACACAGTGAAGCTAACTGATACATGGGAGGATTGAGGATCAAAGACATTAAATGACTTTTAAAATCACTTAGGTATGAATGGAGGCTCTTTCACCATATTGTGCTTCTTTCCAGCTTCTCCAGCTAGAGCTGGAGATATATTAAATCTGAAATACATGCTTTGAGCCTACCAGCACTGCCTGTTTAGGGGACATCTCCTGCAGGCCTTTCCTAGGCTATTTCCAGGATTTATGGGAACAATTCTTTCCCAGCCCAAGTGCTTATCTTAAACCAGGCCCTACAAAGTAGCCTGCCTACCATCTGTCTTCTCCATCTTTGGAGCGCTGACCCTCAGTGTCTCAGGTACTCTTCATCCGATGAGTCTGTAAAACTTGTTGGAGAGTGCTGAAAGAAAGGAGGATATAGAAGTGGTAAGTCTCATTAGAGTTCAAATAAGTACTGGGGAAACACAGCACTAAAGAAAGTATCACTCATTCCTGCCTTTCTCCCAGGGTGCGCATGAGCCCACAGCCCTTCCAAGGAGGAAGATTAAAAACCTGTACACATTTCTAGAGCCCAGTGCTGGGTTTTCTTCATGGAATATTAGCAATAGTTGACACGAAAGGAAGTATTTGGTCCAGTCGTCTCACTTGGTAGATGAGGAAACTGAGGCTGAGGAGTTCATTGCTCTTAGGTCTCTCAGAATATTCGTGAAGGTGCTAGTATCAGACCCAGGCTTTTGATACCAGGACGGGGCTCTTTCTATAATCTCAAGAGTTGAAATCTACCTATCTCCATCCTGGGAAGAGACTTATAGTCCATTTTGTGAAAAAGCTGGAATCAGGGTACCTGTAAATGATATGTGACATGTCAATCAGACAGAAGACAGAGATGAGATAATTGCGAGTACTGACAGGGAGCTGATACTTAGAGGTGATTTCTAACCATGGGTGGAACAAGGGGAAGTTCAACCTGGGTGGCCCGAAGACATGGGTAACTATTCAAGCAGAATATTGCCCTGGCCCTGAATTAGTGTGCCTTGAGGTTTGACCATAAATTCTCCCCAAAGTTTTAATCCATTCCCAGGACTCTTTCTTCAAATGGTAAACATCCTAGCTCCTGCCCCCATCACAATAAATCACCCAGGAAATTGGCTTTTTATGATGGTAACGCCACATACATCAGAATAGTGAATTATCTGTAACACCGCAGCAGTGGAAGCAGGGTTGTTTTAGGAATTCCAATGTGCTTGACAACACGAACTCCAGACAAGGAAAGTGAACAGGGATGAGGGAAGGACTGGGGGAAACTGAGAAAGAAAAGGATGATGGGTGGCCCCCAGAAAACAAGGATAGAAAAAGGGGGACAAACAAATAACTGGAGAAGAGGACCGGAAAATGTGAGCTTGTCAAATAAGAGGGAAATGCCAAAGTTTGCCCACCAGGAAATTCAGCATCATTTCTTCCTGTGAGTGCTGCTTCTACCTCATCCCCTCCAGCCTGTGTGCCAAGCAGCTGCCAGCGGGGCCTTGCCCTGTACAGGTGGATGGAGCCCCAAAGGGCAGGCATGTTTTCTAGAAGCAGAGACACTCCTTGCAGAAGGATTGGCACACTGAGTACCTTGTGTACCTCCGGGGCAGCAAGCAGTGCACCAGCACATCCTGCGGGGCTGACCTGGGGAAGCAAAGAGCTAGAGAAGTCAGGGACAAGGGAACTGAGAGCGTAGATGGTCCCGCAGAGGCTGAGAGTGGCCAACAAGGAGGCAGACAGTGGAGAGGTGTGGAAGCTTCTAACCTGGGGTGAGGGAGGCTGGCCTTTGTTATAAAGAGAACGCTCCCAGGCAGAGAACGCTGCTGCCTCTCTCGCCACCCCAGCTCTGCAGTCTGTAGCAGGTGATGCCACACGGAGGAGGCAGCAGCAGGGGAAGCTTGCAGAAGAAAAGAGCGAGGTGGCAAACCCTAAGCTTGGCCGTTTGTCTCCACCATCAAAGCCTCTCCTGCTCCCGCTCCCCCTCCCTCTCACCCCTGTAACATTACTGAGCAACAGGCGTAGCTGGGAGTACATGCATTCATGAATTATCTCATGCAATCTTCATGCAAAGAGGATTATTATTATTCCAATTTTTCAGGGAGAGAGGCTGAGGCTGAGAGAGTTGGCAGGGCTGCTCATGTCACATAAGCAAGTGTTGCAGCAGGATTTGCCCTCAGGTCTAGCCAACTCCATGCCTGGATTGGGAAGAAAAGTGATTTGCAAACATTTAAGTTTGCAAATAAGTCACCCCATAAGTCAGCCCAGTTCCCTGACACTATGACAGATCTCTAGCTCCCCTTGTGAGGGGAAATGCTTCTGACTGGTGCTTCTCTGTCTCTCCCACAGTATACACAGAAAGCCTGTGGGCTTAGAGGAGAACTGCTCTCTTGTAAAGCCTCCTGGGCCAAAGGAGAGCTCTGCTTCTCCAAGGCTGGACACCAGGCAACACAGCTCCTAACTGCAGAGGAGGGAGCCTCCAGGGGGTACAGCTGGACTTTTGGCTACACAAACTCTCATCATCAGCCCAGGGTCTTCAATAGCACACCCAGCCTTTGGTTAGAATTGGGAATTCAGCCCGTCCTGTATCAGACCATATGACTTTAAAGAATTATTCAGCATACATTAGGTCAAATTTCATTAAAAAGAACTCTGTAGGGACCTCTACGATTTCTCCCAGACTAGTTTTCACTAAAATTAATCATTTCAAGGCTATAGAAATGAAGTGGAGCTGACACCCCAACTCTCAAAGGAGAGGGCTCGTCAACTTCTCACTCTAAAGGGCTCATAATACAGGAAGGAAGGAGGGCTCTGTCATGTGCACAAGTCACCACTTCTAGCCCCAACCCCCACCCCCAGCCTTCTCCACTTTCCTCCATGGTCCTAACAGCAGGCATCGTGGAGCTTAGCTAAGAGTTTCCTTCCAATGGGCAGATGCTCGATGTGGTTAGATTAGGTAAAAAATAACTGCCACACCAACACATGCATGCTACCATGTTTGCTATACAATAGAATATGAAAATAGCGTTATGGGACATAGTTCCCTTTTAAAATGGAATTTTGCAAGTCTCTGGAGCATTTAAAGTTTTGGCATAAAGCCATTTCTTTTCTTTCTTTCTTTTTTTTTTTTTTCTGAGATGGAGTCTTACTGTCACCCAGACTGGAGTGCAATGGTGCAATCTCAGCTTACTGCAACCTCCACCTCCGGGTTCAGGCAATTCTCCTGCCTCAACCTCCTGAGTAGCTGGGATTACAGGCAAGTGCCACCATGCCCAGCTAATTTTGTATTTTTAGTAGAAATGGGGTTTCACCATGTTGACCAGGCTAGTCTTGAGCTCTTGACCTCAGGTGATCCACCCGCCTCAGCCTCCCAAAGTGCTGGGATTACAGGAGTGAGCCACTACACCCGACCATAAAGCCATTTCTTACCTATTCTGTTAAGTCGTATCCCCAGTGTTCAGGACCCTTAATTATCTCGTGTTATGATGTTACTTTTCATTTGTTTTTGTTCTATGCCGGGATGGTGGAGTTAGTGACCAACCTCTCTCCATAGCTCACCATATGCTAGATGTTTGGGGCATACATAGCTTGCTTTCTCTCTAGCTCTTCTCCCTACTGGCCTGTAAGCTCGCGAAGCTCAGAATTCTTGCAAGTTTCGTTTCCGAAACTCCCTGTGTCTAACTCATGGCAGACAGTCCATGGTTCTTAAATGAACAAAACAAAAGGGACAAGATTGTCTGTCTTCAAATGAAACCCATAGAAAGAAATTAACATGAGCTAAGCACTTACACTGGGAATCAGCCACTGGGTATAATTTCTCATTTCACCCTCATACAAGCAATTCTAGGAAACGGGAACTTGTCCAAGTTACAAATGAGGAAATTAAGGCACAAAGAGTCCATGTGGCCCATCCAAAGTGACCCAGTTAATTAGGAGCAGGATAGCTTATGTGACGCCATCATTCCCCTGTGCCTTTCCAAGCCCATGGGGCAGTGAAGAGGTGAGGACCAAGGCTGATCATTTAAAATCCAGCAAAGAAGCGGTCACTTGGCAGACAGTGATGATAGTTCACATGCAACTCCCAGGCCAGGCTGGAAATGGTTCCAGCCGGGTCCACCCTCAGTGCCTGGGAGCATGGGTTTCCCCAGGTCAGCCCCACTCCTGCAACATTTACTCTCTCCTCTCCACGCTTACTCCTTTTATGATGCCATTTTCAAGCTCATTTCTAACCTCAAATCCAAATATAAAGAGACCTTCCCTTACTTAGTCTTGAAACAAACCTGGTCTGCACTTTTGTTCTTTTCAATCCTCTTTTTATTCTGCAATAATAAAAATGCGGTATTTCATCCCAGAGCAGGCTGCATGCCAAAATAAATACCACCTTGGATTTCCTTGAAAAGAGAGCTTGGATCAAGTCTCAGCCTCATTGCCACGAGAATTCTTGGAGAATTCAACCTTACAAAGTCAAGTATTTAGCAAGGTAGTACACCAAACAACAACCCTGCCAGCCCTTTGCAAAGACAAAGCACTCTTTCCAAAAGAGGAAAAAAAATCACCCGTACCTCAGACTGATCATGCTAAGATGATGAGAGCGTCCTGTTTCCCCATCCCAGGACCCCAGCCTTTCAAGCATAAACATTCCCCGTGCTAAGAGGCAGGAAGCATCTGACCACTGCTTTAAACATTGAGAGGGCCGAAGCTGGGACACCAGGGGAGGTGAGAAGTACTGAGAAAGATTCTGCTAACCGAGTTCTCCAGCGGGCTCACATCCTGCCAACCGGAGACACAAAGAGATAACTCCTGCTCAGTAAATGACACATTAACACAATCTCACTAACTCCATTCCCACGTTTTTTGCAAGTGTCTGTCATTTTCGTCTGCATTGCAGCAGCTGAATCTGGAGCTTGAAGAAGAAGATAAAACAGTTGGGAGGAATGCTGTGCCCACATTACCTTCCATGGCATCATCCCCCTGCACAGCCCACAGCAGGGAGGACTCATCTCCTTCCCAGAAAGCCAGCTTTGGGCTGCAGGGCCGGAGCCGATCACTCTCCTGCCTTCAGCACAGCCGCGTCTGTTTCGCAGCTGTTAAAGGAGTTGGTCAGGTGATCTGTGACCTTGCTGGAAAAGCAAATACTGACTTCCTTTTTGCTCCCGGGAATAGGTGAGTGGGGTAAGAAAGGAATTCACTGCTCAATAAGCTAAGACTGGATCTTGTAGAAAGAGAAAGAACGTTAAAATCCTTCAGCTGGAAAGTTAGTTCCCAGAGCTGCCATTGCTTTGGAGGAACACAGCTAAAGACATCCAAACAACACACAATCTTCCTTCTTGACTCCTCTGAATCTGGCAGCTCATCTGAGCAGTTGTAATTAATTATGCTTTCCTCCTTCCTCCCTGCAGCTGATGCGGCTCATTAATGAATTTGTTCCTAATGAGGATGTAGCCTCCTTAGAGTTGAAACCCTTCAATAGTGCATCACTTTCATCCTGGCTCAGCTTTAGAAACATCCCTCCCTACCCCCTCCTGGGGACCCTGGACCACACGAAGCCTCTGATCATTAAACGAACGGAAGTCTGTCGGGGCAGAGCCGAGACAGAAACAATGACCAGTAAATTCCTGGGGCTGGACTGGTAGCTCCTCATTCCTGCTGCTCTACCAATTTGCTGCCCTAGGGCACCAAAACACACCCAATTCTGGCAGGAATGGAAAAGCAAGGAAGTACCTGCTGTGACGACCAAATTATTGTTCAGTGGATCCAACTCCAGGCAGGGTTTCTAACTGCAGCGCAGATCAGAGACTCAGAGAGGCGGGGTGTCGGAGCCAGGGAGCAGGCAGCTGCCAGAGGAGCAAGGTTTCAGAGTGTCCTAAGCAGGCACAGTGGAGGGTGTCCCTCCAGCCCAAAGCTGCTGCAGTTCTTGGGAGCAGAGACAGGTGTGAGGTGCAGGCACCAGGCTCCAGGCTCTCCAAACCCCTAGCTATCCCCGGACCTGAAGGAGTGGGGATGGTCCAGAAGGGGCCAGGAGAACGTCTGGGCTCCTTTATGCAGACTCAGTAAAAGGATTAGAGGGACGTTGTTCCTTCACCTCCTGGTGCTCTAACCAAGTGAGGCTATGGCTGGGAAATGAAGCCTCTCAGTAAGACACATCAGATGCAGCTCTGACCTTCACTGACACTGACTGTCCGGATGTGCCTTCCAAGACCAGGGGCAGGTTCCTGTCTAACCCATGCTGAAATTGATGCTGGCAAAGAGTGTCACCCTGAAACGCTGCCTGCATCGAGCCTGGTACACTCGCAAAGCACTTTCTGTCCCATGTCCCAGTTATCCTTGCATCAACACTTGAAGCAGCCAGAACTAGCATAAAGGTGAAGAAAATGAGAGACGGTCTATGTGATTTCCCTTGGGTCATCCGGGAGCAAAGAGCTCTGGGGTAAAGTTCTATGTTCTTCCCATTGCCCTGAATCAAGTTCCTTACTTTTTTGGGAAGATTCTAGAGACTCCTGCTCAAGATAGAGGTTAGGAGACTTTGCAAAGTACTCAGGATGACGTGGTGGTAGGCAAGTCTATGGAATACTAACATGGCTTTTCTCAACTGGTAAAAGTATTTTTCCAATTAACTGAGTACGCAGACCAATCATCAGAATAAAAAAGAATTCAAAATATACCTTGAACTCTAAGGGTATAGAAAAATATACTGAGGAGCAAACCACTTCTCTGATACACTTCAAATGATCATTGACCATCACTTCTAAACTGGCTAGACAATGGCTGGAGGCACACAGCATTCTCTAAGATGCAGATGGAAGAAAAGCCCTCCATGTTACCACATCCAATGCCTTTCCAGCCACCTGCCCTTCCCCTCTGGTCTATCTGTGTGAGCAAGATAAGCACTCTCTTTCCCTCTCCCGGGATAAATTCTTCCTGATCTAGGACAGATAGGTGAGAGGTTTTCCTCCAGAGCCATGCCTTGCCCGCAAGAACCCACATTCTACCTGGAATGCCGTTACATGTTTTCTGCCTGTCCAGTTCCTCTGCTCAGACATCTCCAAGTGCAGTGACCATCCTTCCAGCTGCCACTGTCCCTGTCTGCCTGCTACTACAGCGTGTGGCATATTCTAATTGCTGTTTCTGCATCTGTCTCCTGGCCAACATCACAGGCTAACTGATCCATAAAGTGTGTAAACTTATCTATAATCCCTACAGCTCCAAATACAGACGACCTCTCCAGCCACTTTCTTACATGTCAAGGGAGCACTGTGCTATTCCCACGGCCACCAGGCCTCTTATCAGATTTAAAAAGACTACAGGATGAGGGAAGGGAATATGGGTTGAGTATCTTTTATCTGAAATGCTTGAGACCAGAAGTTTTTTGGATTTCAAATTGTTCTGGATTTTGGAATATTTGCATATACATAATGAGATATCTTAGGAATGGGACCAAGTCTGAAAAGGAAATTTGTCCACGTTTCATATATGCCGTATCACACTGCCTCAAGGTAATTTTAAACATAATATTTGAAATAGTTTTGTGCATGCAACAAAGTTTTGACAGCACTGTGACTGTGACCTGTCACAGGAGGCCAAGTGTGGAATTTCCCACCTATGGTGTCATGTCGGTGCTCAAAACATTTCAGATTTTGGAGCATTTTGGATTTTTGATTTTCAAATTAGTTCTACCTATAGTAGTCCCTGCAGCAGTGCCACCAATAAGCTTGACTCTAAGGCCAGGACAGAAGATACACACACACACACGCGCACACACACACACACACACACACACACATACACACACACATACATACACACACACACATACACTCACACACACACACACACGATGCACCCATCCACACATACACACACCCTCATCACATTCCCTTGACTTCTCCAGACCTCCTCATTCTGGGGAAAGGTTTGGATATTTTGTCCCCTCTAAAATCTCATGTTGAAATGTGACCTCCAATGTTGGAAGTGGGCCTAGTGGGAGGTGTCTGGGTCAAGAGGCTGGATCCTTTTTTTTCTGAGATAAAGTTGCCCAGGCTGCAGTGCAGGGGCACAATCTCGGCTCACTGTCACCTCCACCTCTCAGGTTCAAGTGATTCTCCTGCCTCAGCCTCCTGAGTAGCAGGGACTATAGGCATGCCTGGCTAATTTTTGCATTTTTAATAGAAACAGGGTTTCGCCATGTTGGCCAAGCTGGTCTTGAACTCCTGACCGCAGGTGATCTGCAGGCGGATCCCTCATGAATGACTTGGTGCCCTCCCCACAGTAATGAGTTCTCACTCTCTTAGTTCACACAAGAGCTGGTTGAGCTGGTAAAGGAGCAGGTGTGGCTCCCTCTCTCTCTTGCTCCCTGTGTCATCATGTCACACATCTTTTCCCTGGTTGCTTTCTTTCTTCTTTTTTTTTTTTTTAAATATATTATTATTATTATTTTGAAAGACGGGGTTTCACCATGTTGGTCAGGCTGGTCTCGAACTCCCAACCTCAGGTGATCCGCCCACCTTGGCCTCCAAAGTGCTTGGATTACAGGCATGAGCCACCATGTCTGGACTTCCCTGATTGCTTTCTACCGTGATTGGAAGTTTCCTGGGGCCTCACCAGAAGCAGATGCCAGCATCATGCTTCTTGTACAGCCCGCGGAACCGTGAGCCAAAACAAACCTCTTTTCTTCATAAATTACCCAAGTCTCAGATATTTCTTTATAACAATACAGAATGAACTAACACAGGTTCAGTTCTTGGGCTTAGCATGAGGTGCTGGGATAGGCACTGTGCTCACTGTCTATGTCTCTCAGAGGAGAAGAAATTTTTTTGTCTTGATAACTTACCCAGGATACTCATTTGAACTCATGGTCAAGCAGGGAGGTGAGCAGAACAGGGAAGGTTATCCTGTTTTCCAAATGAGGAAATAGTCTGTTCCCAAGGTTACAGAGAAAAAGAAAAAGAAAAAAAAAGGGCAAAACCTCAACTCAAACCCATATAGTCCGTTTCCCAGTCCAACACTTTTTCTGCTAAACCACACGCTCTGAACCGGGCACGCAGGCAAATCCAGAGGACATGCAAATAGCAGGACACAAGCTTCAGTGCTGGTGCTGTCCAGGCACAAGGTGACCTCACCTTGAGGGAAGGTCATCATGAGAAGTCGCAGCCACTTTCTCTAGAGGAATCTGTGCTTTTGCGGGGGGGGGAGTTCTCCCATGGTTTTGCCATGTCCAGGATACCAGCATCCCCCATCCCTATGCCTCCCTAAGACGTATGTCTTAAGACCGGCAGCCAGCTTTATGCTCCTACCAAGCCCGCAGGCCATCTCCTGAACCAAACACATTTGTCCACAAGAACTTTCCTGACAAGAATCACAGGACTGGAGGGAGGTCTGGCTCCTTTTGCAGTTTAGAAATGCTCAGCTTCTCTGGCCCAGGTCCCTTCAGCCCCATGATGGAAAAGAGATGAACTGTCCAAGTCCAGGAAGCTGGGGACTAGGCCAGAGGGGAAAAGAGGCTCAGCTCTCCGAAGAATGTGCCTTTTATTTAAGCAATCCCTTGGCTTTTGCACTTTACTCAGAAGGGTTAGCGCTTTGATGGGCTGTGTGACTGCACGGGGCTGAGAAGGGCACACTTGTTAAATATTCACACACTTGACTAGAGCCTCTCTGAGCACACTGGTCACAGTCACAGTCATCCCCACAGAATGCAACCTAAATAGGCAGAGAAAGAAATCATGCATGTGAGACCTGTAGGTGCAGCCATCCAGGAGGGAAACCAGCTATTCTAAAGATTGACTCTATAAAGCAGATGTAATTTTCTGAGGGAAGAAACTGGGCCAGTGGTAGGCAGAGGGGAGGCTGCACTAACCGGTGGAAAACGCTCCTCGGGGGGAAAAAAGGCATTAGACTTGCAGGGATGAAGACCTCCACTCCGCACCTCTTTCTTCATTTAGACGCTTCCAAAGTGCTCTTAGTCCTTGACTTAAACATACCATAAAATCAAACTGCCAACTGCCAAACGAGGAAGGGGCACAAGCAGGCAATTAATCAAAGAAGAAACACAAACAGTTAATGTTTGAGAAATGCATAACCTCACAAATTAATAATAAAAAAGGTGGCAGCTCAGTCTTGACGTGCCATACCCTGCCATGAGCCAGGCGCTCTGGTCCAACCCAAACAGCATGCTATTCCCAGAAAGACTCTGCCGGGCTTGTCTGACCCGCCTTATTCTGTTGTTGTTGTTCTGTTATGTTTTGTTTCAGGCTTTTAGCACCGGAAGCCATGGGTTTTAGTCTCTGTCTCTAGTGGTAAGCGGAAAAGAGGGATGAGGAAAGGGCTTTACTGACATAACCAGAAACAGAATCTGAGAACCCGTGACTGCATTCTCTCCCTTGGACAGCCCCTGCGTACTGTTACTTCTATTGTCCAAGGTCAAGGCAGAGGCATCGAGACCATCAGAGCCAAGATTAGAATCCGTGTTTTTCGATGTTAATAGGCTGCTCTTAACCATGGTACAGCAGACTCTCTTACGAGTTAGAAAAATATTTTTTGAAAAGAAAGATCATCCTCAGTGTTGATGAGGAGGGGACACACCCTCTCCAGAAGATCACAGCAGAGTGGGGGCAGCTGTAGCCAAGAGAGGAACTACAGGCTGTGGCAATGCCTCCGAGCACACCACAAGGATCTCCCAGCACACTGCCTGCGTGTCTAATGGCATTGTCTAGTTTGTACATGTGCACAGGGGAATTCAAAATCAAACACAGCAAATACAATGGTGAAGAGAGAAGAAGACAAAAAAGGTCATAATCACATGTGATTTCTTTTCTTGGTGGTCTAGGAATCATCACTATTTTTTTTTTTTTTTGAGACGGAGTTTTGCTCTTGTTGCCCAGGCTGGAGTGCAGTGGTGTGATCTTGGCTCACTGCCACCTCCGCCTCCCAGGTTCAAGTGATTCTCCTGCCTCAGCCTCCCAAGTAGCTGGGATTATAGGCATTCGCCACCATACCCAGCTAATTTTGTGTTTTTAGTAGAGACAGGGTTTCTCCATGTTGGTTACGCTGGTCTCGAACTCCTGACCTCAGATGATCCACTCACCTTGGCCTCCCAAAGTGCTGGGATTACAGGCGTGAGCTGCCGCGCCCGGCCTGGAATCATCACTATTATGATGTATTCTTGGAAAATAAGAAATAAATTATTTGGGGGTAAAGAGATGGGAAGTCAACATAATTCTGCCTCCTGGCTACAGCAATTTTCATGTTCACCTATTTTGTATATTTAACAGAATAGAAGGGCAAATTCTACAGTGGACTTACAGCCTGGGCTCCAAGTCAAGTAGTAGCTGAACTCCCAGCCCTGCCACTGACTGACTGCAGAGCCTTGCTCAAATTCCTGAACCTCCCTGTGCCTCAGTTGCCTTGCTTGTAAAATAGGACTAGTAGTAGAATTTCCTATAAGTCATGGAGCTGTCAGGAAGATGAAACAGGATGACAATACACGCAAACCACTTAGAACAGAGTCTGGCATATAGTCCTGTTCAATGAGTAAATGCATTAGTTTTTTTTTAATATAATAGTAGAAATTCAATTACGAATCCAATTTTGTATTCAAAATTCTATTATACAACCATTTTTAAAAGTATTGTTTGACCTGCTTTGTAATGATTTACTATAAATGGCTATATAAACCTCCATTGACTTGCACCTTATTTTCCAAACCCCTCCCTACAGGGGGTCATGCCACCTCCTGTTGAATTCTCCCTCTAATGCTACCACATCAGCCAGCCTGGCAGGCGGTCCTCACGCAGGTCTCCAGGGAAGACCCCATTTCCAGGTGGCTGGATCTCAGCCTCACGGGCTTTGAGGTAAGACAGGCCAGGTTCAAATCCTGGCTGTGTGACCCTGGGCAAATGTCCTTATTCAAAAAGAGCACAGCTCGGTACACTGTGTCAAGACCGCAGGGGACAAGGTCTGCAAAGTGCTTGTGCTCGTGCCCAGGATATAATAAACACTCAATACATTTGGCTACGATTACTTTTTAAAACCCACAATGTGAAGCAAGGAAAGAGCAAGGATCATGTTTGTTTTCTTTCTCACCCCATTTTTAACACTTAGCATGATGGGAACTCAATAAAAATGTGTTGAGTCAACAAATAAATAAATGGAGGGATGGATGGGTAAATGGATCAGCGACTATTCGAGCTGGAAAGGATTTTTTAAACAGCTTTATTGAAATATAATCTACATACCATATAATTTATCCATATAAATTGTACAATCCAATAGTTGCAGTATATTTAGAGTTACACAAACATCACCACGATCTAATTTTTTAAATTGCGGTAAAATATACAGGGCACAATATTTATTATTTTACCCACTGAATGTACAATTTAGTGGCATTAAATGCATTCACAGTGTTGTGTAACCATCATCATCATCACTACTTATTTTTTTTTTTTTTGAGACAGAGTCTCACTCTGTCACCCAGGCTGGAGTACAATGGCACGATCTCAGCTCACTGCAACCTCTACCTCCCATGTTCAAGCAATTCTCATGCCTCAGCCTCCTGAGTAGCAGAGATTACAGGTGTGTGCCACCATGCCTGGCTAATTTTTTTTATATCTAGTAGAGACAGGGTTTCACCATGTTGGCCAGGCTGGTCTCAAACTCCTGTCCTCAGGTGATACTCCCACCTCAGCCTCCCGAAGTGCTGGGATTACAGGCGTGAGCCACTGCACCT